AAATGGGTTTTTGCAAAAGATCCGAATCTGGGGTAAAGTTTAGAACCTTCGAAGATATAATAGCCGGTAGATCCGTTTTCCCGGTGATCTTCATCTTCTCCGACTAGATTCAGTCATCAGTTTAGCTGTTAAACCCATTACTACTTGAGAAGAAGTTGAAAACGAACCGGCGACCATGAAAATGGAGCTCAGAAACACAGAGAAAGCAAGATTAACCCAAATTTTCTGAGAGATTTCTTGGGAAAGTGATGCCTCTCTCTCTCTCTCTCTCTCTCACACACACACACTATAACACACTATTAGGGTACTATTAGTGTGTCTATTATACGCATAATTGTACGGTCAACGCTTTTCAGAGAAAGATGAGGGGGTGGTTTGTAATATTGTTTGAAGTTTGTGGGGGTTACTGAAAATATTTTAAACTGTGACACTGAGTAAATAGTGAATTACAATAATGGTGCCTGGAGTATTCAATGATTTACATTTTTGTCGTATTTTAACTTTTGAGGTTACATTTTAGTCCTTGAAGAATTTGTTTAAAGGCTATGGAGACTTAATATTTTTTTTTTTTTTGTAGTGTCAAAATAATTAAGAGGTTGTTTGTTTACCTCTTAATAGTTTCATTAAAAGATAGACAGTTTTTCAATTGTTAAGAGATGAATCTTGTTTGACAAAAAAAAAGTTTATCTTTTAATAATTTTAAAACTCTCTGAATTATTTTATATCATGGGACTCCTTTTACCATCCCAATGAGGAACGGGGATCCCCAACTGGGAAACGGATTTTTTTTTCGTTTATGTAAGTTATTTTAAATTAAATATGTGAGAGATCATACATGTTTATATCTCAAACATTTTCAATAAACCTAAAACCAAAATGAAATTAATTTTATACAAAAAAAAAACCATAACATTATATTTCGATTAATTTTGTTTTGACTTGACATCCAAAATATTACATATTAACATTCAAAAAATGACAACTTTAGATTATAAACCTAGTTAAAAAATTATGAATTTTCGTTTTAGTTGAAATAAATAATGTATATATATATATATATATAATTTACTAATTAATATATATAACGAGAATGGGACGGGGCGGAGAGTATGATACCCGTCCCCGTTCCCATCCCCGGTTTGAGACAAACGGGGATCCTCGTCCCCATCCCCAGTTTAAGACAAACGGGGATCCTCATCCACATCCATCCCCGATTTAGCGAGGAATCCCCATGCCCAACCGGGGCGGGTGGACCGGGTTCCCCAACGGGTCGGGGCCCATTCCCATGCCTACTCAAGGGATTAATCGATGTGTATATAAACTAACTAGTGAATGAAATTCCATTCCACTCAATTTTATTTATAATGAAAATTTAGGCTTGTGAGAGAATGAGTTCATTATATTATATAAAACTAAACAGTTTTATTTATTTATTTACATTCTTCTTAATTATTGTTTAATATCTCTAACAAAACACCCTGACCGTTAACCAATCTTATATGATTTGGTTACCATCGTATCGTTGTTAACTCCACTCGTTAAATCACGTTAAAGACACGTAAAATTCAAAGTTTTGAGGGGGTAAGTGCAATAATGTAATATTACAAGGGGCAAAAACATAAAGTATGATTAGATTAGCATATAAAGGTAGTAGAATATTTATGTGACACAAAGTAATTAAACCATATTTATTACAATTATTTCACTCTTTTGGCTCCAAATTAATTATTCCATGAAACATATGAATTTGATGAATAAGTGCAATGAAAATTAATTATCAATTAGGAATTTTAAGGTGTTCTAGAAAAGAAAAGACCATATATTATATAGGATTGGGTTCACGTGAGACCAAAGATTTTTTGTGAGACTCGTAAGATTAATTTATGTTAATTGATCAACTTTATAAGCTAATGATCTAAGATTGTACGGTGGCAATTTTATGATTATTGAGAAGTCTCGTGGCAATTTTGTGATTATGAATGTTCAGATTGTTGATCTAATCTAAAGTTTGAGAATTGGTCTTACGAGTCTCACGAAAACCTTTGGTTTCACATGATTTCAACTCTCTCTCTCTCTCTCTATATATATATATATATATA